ATGTCAACGCACGTTAATAAAATTTGTAATTCCGCGTTTTATCACCTACATAATATTAGGAGGATTAAGAATTATTTATCTCGCGATTCGTTATTAACGCTTATTCATGCTTTTATCACTAGTCGTTTAGACTATTGTAATGGACTTTTGTATGGCCTTCCTAAGTCGCAAATAGCCAAATTGCAACGTGTGCAGAATGCTGCGGCTAGACTTGTACTGAGTTTAAGTAAGTATTCGCATATTTCTCCTGCGCTTTGTCAACTTCACTGGTTACCAGTACAACATCGTGTTCATTTTAAGATCATAATTTTAACATTTAAAGCTATTCATGGATGGGCGCCTAGGTATATCATTGAACTAATTAACATCCAGCCTAGGTCTGTATATAATCTTAGAGCAAATCAAAGTTTATTACTTGACCTTCCTAAGGGGAAAATGCTTGCCACGTTGGGGGACAGATCACTCTCTGCTGCTGCCCCGTACTTATGGAATGCTCTGCCAGCTGAATTACGTGATTTTCCATCATTTTCCATTTTTAAATGTAAGCTGAAAACTTATTTATTTCGTGCAGCTTTCTCAAAGTGTCCTGTCTGACAATTACTTTTATTAGTATTACTAATTAAGTCCCTTATTAAGATCCTTATTCCTAATTAAGATCCTTATTATGGATATTCCGTATTATTCTTATTTTTAAAATACATTATTAATATTAATGTACACGTAATTAGTTTTATAAATTTAAATTTACTGTAGTATTCTAAGTTATTAAGCGCTGTTGATCATTGAATGAAAACAGCTCTCTAGAAGTTATTAAATTAAATTAAATTAAATAAAATATCACATCCGGCAAACTGAGTGGCTTACGACTGATTCCGCCGTTATCGTAACGCTGCCGCAGGATTGTTAAACCATTGGTATTTCAACCGTTTGTGGAGCGTTATCAACATTATTGTTCGGCTTAATTCACCGGAAAAAAGTTTACGTTTTCTCTCTTATAAAATTTTAATTTAAGCCTCGGTGGACGTTAAATAAAAGTGAAAAAACTTTTCTGGGTACTGGTTTTTGACTGGATATTAAGAAGTAATAAACAAAAAACGAGTGCCTTTTTAATTTCTGCTCCCACCTCGCGCCCTCAGATAGATCCCAGCTCCCGCCCTCTTCCGCATCCTGTTCCCCAGGGCTCTCGCCCCCTTGTCCCCCTCCATCATCAATGTAAACTGCGGATAAATAAATGAAATATGAGCGCGATCTTCGCAGTGATGAGCACTACTTAGGCAGTTGAGAAAATAAGCTCTGAAACTGGGAGCTGGTCATTTTGTTGGTTTGTAATAAACCCGTGAAGTGATTAATGATTGACAATGAATATACATGTATAATGGTTCAACTACCATCTTACTTTATAACATGACCAAAGTAAAGCGGGCGCTCTGATTGGTCAATTTAAAGTAAAGCGCGCGCTCTGATGGGTCAATTGGTCAACTACCATCTTATTACTCTCATTTTTCACTTTTTAATTTGCTGAGATAAGAAAAGCTCACGTAGCCTAAAACTGTTGGGATGAAGAAGAAAATCGAGAGAGGGAACACTAATACGGTTACGAGAGTAGAAAAATTCATCGAGATTCTTTGATCTGTGATAAGCAGTCTGTAAAGTACATGGTATGAAATCCAGTTGAACAGAAAAAATGAAGTAAGTGCTTAGTCAAAGCTAAATAAATCCCTATTGGCTTCTTTTCTCCCACAACAACCCAAGTACCCAGCCACGACACCCTTTGGAATGAGGAAGAGACTGCGAGAACAAGTTCATCTGAATTCACAGAGGAAACGCAGATAGTAAAATTCTTCTCGAATTCGGCTGAAGCTTCACGAAAATAAAAAAAAGGAAAGAAAACCGAGGATCACAACTTTCCGACTGGCCGAGGGTCTCTGCCTCGAAGTGCATTTATTGATATGACATCTCTGGGTTTATTGATGGCTAATTCTGAATTGTCACACCCAGAAACATTGCCAAGGACAGCATGCTTCTCTTCTATTTATTTTCTTTTCAATTTTTTTTGGCAGCTTTATGACTGATTGGTGAACCCTTGTATGCACGTCGAATGAATCATTCACCACTGCAGCTACAACAAACTACTGTAAATTAGTGGTATCTTCTAATTTGAAAAGTAGCTCCACACTAAAGCTTACATAGAGAAGGGAAAAAAAGAGGGAAAAAAAGGACAATCTAAGAAGTACCTATCAATTTGGAGACGAAGACATTCAAGATGCACAAACAATCTCCACGCCAACAACAACAGGTTTATTTGCTTGTCAACTTGCAGTAATTTACATTATCGCAAGAACAATTTGAATTTAACTATAATGTGAAAATGCAAGGAAACATAAAAGCATAATTGAATAATCGATTAATAAATTTCATTACGAAAAGCTGTAAAATAATGTGACTCAACTACAAGCGGACATTTTGACTGATGATTAATTCACCGGCCAAATGATTGGGGAAACGTAATTTTGAGTGATAATACAATCTTGATGAGAAGAAGTATTTTTTTGATAAAGTGCCATCGTACTTAAAATTCCAAAAAGTAATTCAAGACTACGCAAATAAGACCATTCAAAGTTGACTTATCAAATACAGTTACTTGGATACAATTGCGGTTGGTCATCGTGAATGCTTAAGGGATGCCTTCGACCCGGCCAAAAAGGATTGCATAGTTTAGAGGATTCCCCGTGAGTGCTGGAAGGTCTACATCGGCAAAGCTGGCGGAGAAAACTGAAACTGGCGAAAAGCAGGGGAGAGAGTGAACTTATTATGGCGATTCCGTCTAAACATTAACACTTTTAGCGCTGAGCAAATATACAGAACAAAGGTAAAACCTCTTTTCGCCTACTTTGGCCAAAGCACGCTTGGCCAGGCATGAAATCATCAGTTTGAGCAACGTAGTTACAGGGCTGTTCTATCTAACGCAATCTTTTCTAAAGTATAAACTCCACCTACCCACGGTTGAAAATATTAAAAGAAGGCTTGTCTATTTGTGTTTTGCAGCTTAAAAGGTGATTTCTGTAGTCTTTTTAAGAATTATTTTAATCTTTTAATTCATAATTTTTATGCGAGGAACAATGGGGCCACCGTTGTTCTTCCGAAAGTGAAACTTGAAAAGCTTTTATTTTTTAGGCTTTTGATCTTTCAACTCAGGCAGCTTAGCAGTAGGATATCACAGGGAGTTTCTCGATGAATTGTATTTTGCATAGCGTAGTTAATGTAGGTTAGGTTTGAGGTCGATTCATTAGGCAAGAAAAGATGTTATAACTTCATGGCTAAATTCGCTTATTTCTCACAATAGAAAATTGCTTTGACTTTGAAATTATTATAACTGTGGCGATAACACTCTTTGTGTAAAATTTACGATTCAGAATCGCAATTAGGCAATCCTGTTCAAAGGAACAGATGGTTGGAAACGTTCAGTTGAAGGTCTCTGAGATGCAGCCCCTCGACAATGAAGTATATTCTTGAGAACTGTCTTAAATTCTTGAATTCTTAAGGGATAAATAACCACGTTCACAAGCGAGTTGCTGAACTGTAAAATCTTGCTAAAGTAGAAAACTGTCGATGAAATCTGCAGACCCCAACCTTCAAAATATGACAAATTATTGATCATTTGATATGGAATCCAAGTTAAAAGAGAAGCTCCTAGAACCAAAAATAAAGTATTGGCTAATTTTGATTCTCTTGTAGCTCTCGGATTTGGGATTCTCTTTGTGAATTTCCGTTTGATCCAAATACTGAAATACGCGAGACAAATGGTTAGCAATGGCGTGGTCTGGAAGAGGAGGAGAAGAAATTTGTAACTTGATTGTTCTATGAACCCATTAGCGTGAAGAATAAACACAGCAATGAAGACTGCTGCTGCGATCCACGGTATGGCAATGGCACCGATGTAATTATTAAACGTCAGGGTTCTGTGACGTAGAGGCCATACGATGGCAAACATTCTCTCGAAGGAAATAACTGCAAGCGTATAGATGGACGTTAAACCAGGAAAGGCGTCAAAACAGGTTGACACGAGCCACCACAACAATGAATATTCTGTGGTTCTCCGTATTATGAAAAATGGAATGGCGAACAATCCGACCATTAAATCAGCAACAGCCAAACTGACTGGTAAAAAGTAAGATCGTTTACGTGGTTTCTGTTGGTGGAATACCCAGATGGTGAAGAAATTTCCCAACAAGATCAGTACCGCAATCAGCCCAAAAATCGAACTCCAAAAAATGTTCCATGAGTTGAGATCCATGTTTGTAAGCAATTGTTTCCTTAAGATCTCTCCTGGCTCACTTTTCCTGATTGAAATGAAAATTATGAACTTATTAGACAAGAACAAAGTCTTGGTCGTCATCATTGTCACCTTGCTATTTCTGTGTTTCGCTGCGAAGAAAGAAGAACAACTTGGGTGGTTTCGAGCGTTAGCCCTTCGTCAGAGCGAATGACTTTATGAAAAACACTGTACTGAGTTAACAAAATCATACTCATCGTTTCTCGTCTCTTGAACAAGAATTAATCCTACCTGCAAACTAGACCGAGAACTTCCTGCCTCGAGTCAAAAACAGGAACGCTCAAGCAGATCTTTCGGCTTTGGCGACGCGGTCCGCCTGATTCACATTAATTTCCTTCACTCGCGTACACACATTTATAGTCTGAAGGCTGAATATGTTTTCAGGTTGGCCAAAGTTTCAAGATAGACGTGGTCACCTAAATGCATTACCTAAAAAAACATTTGGTTTTCTCTTTTAGTCTACCGGGAAGTTGCACCTGTCCTAGAGACTGATAGTTGCTGCAGAGGTGATTTTTCATCCTCCGGTATTAATTGTTTGTTTATCTCCGGTAATAATTGTTTGGAAGCATATCAGTTGTGGTTCCAATGATTGCTTCTTGCAAATTGGAAATAACCTTTAATTTTAAAAAAACTATGTGACACCTTTTTCGGTGGTCATTGAAGCAACAGCCTGTAGTCATCTTGTCTGAAGACTAAATTGAAGTATATCACCGGCTTACCTCAATATAAAGGTAGTTCATGTCTAGCCAATTGACTTGGTAGCTTACAGCAAGGATTCTTCTATAACCGTTTAACAGACGAACTTTCTGAGCTCATTTGTTTATTTTGCATTGCGAGTGCGTGGGTGACCCCAAAGAAGTACAATGTCTTAATTACATGCTCATTCGCTACGCTCAAACGCTTAAATTCTGCAAATATAAAACCCACACACGTCGATGGTTCGTGCTCAGCCGATCGAAACTGACGTTTATTTCGCTCTTCAGTATAAACGATGATGAACAGTTATTCAGCTGGAAATTTATAAAAATATCTAAAACCCGCTGAATAATCACTAGTATACGTTTCATATGCCCTCTAGAGTGTAAATATTCTTCGCACCATCTGATTACCATCGTCTCTGCAATTTTAACAATCTACGTTAAACTGAGATAGGTGGAAATAATATCTAAGGTCGTACACCGGACCTACCGCACCAGTTAGTAGACTTAATATTTCTTTTCTCACTTTCATTGCTAAGGAGTTGACCGTGGATCTTTAAAGTTCAAAGAGAAGATCCTTTTTGAAAGGCATCAACCTAACTTACAATTATAAAATATTTCTCCCATCGTCTGCTTAACACTTCTGGAATGAAACGAGAACATTGAAAAAATGATATATACGTAACATGCACATGTGAAAATTGCTAAACCATGAAACAGTTACTGGAGATGGAGACAGTATGGCTCCTAAAAATGGCGAACATTGACGGCCGGTTAACAACAAGCACCAACATGTAATGGCAAGCGCCAGAATTCTAATGGCGAGCGTCATCACTTAAATTTTTTCTTCCTTTTTTCGATGAGCTGCAGTCTGAAAGACACTCGTATCATAGATAAGCTTAAACGCAAAAGTCTTTCGAGAAACCTTTGACAGGGATAATTGGTCACTTCTGTAAATAATGACTTCAAATTACTCAGATGATTACCAAAGCGATTTGTTGTCATTATTATTATAATTTTTTTCTATTTTCGGTGTCTATAACACAACCTCTGCCGCCAATTGCCTGCTGTAGGCCGTCAATTTAAAGCTCTTCAGGATCATAATGACTTTCCATTCGTAATAAAAAAATACAGCACTTAGGAAGCGGCTAGAGCACTCGATGCTTCTTTATTTATTCATCTTTTTGTTTATATATTTTCGAGAGAGTGTATGAATTTCCGGAAGCACTCGTGCAATTTTCAAAGGAAACTATATTTTCCAAAGTAACATAGTTGGTGTGGGCAGCATGCCGTCGTGCATTATTATTTAACAATTAATCGACGACGGCGCGTAGAATATGAGAAGATAAATGACCAACAAGGCGTTACGCGTCTACTTGGTTATACTTATCTTATATTATAATACAGAGTAAGGCTACTTTTACAAAAGAGGCAAAAATTGTGCTCGTTTGTCCAAATTATGTCAAAAATTATGCTAGCACAATTCGGTAAAGGCCTTGATAGAAGTAGTCTCCCTCGCAGCCGTTTTTTTGGATGTCACGCGACGAATATATATTATATGTTCCTCACTACAAGGAACAAAATAAATATTTCCCTTTTCGCAATTGGGATCCAATATTTTGCCAAATAAAACAGGAAAAAAGCAATGATGTGCGTTGCGTAATCATAAACGTGATCGCGTTTCTCTATGGCAACGCGACATATGAAAGCAGAGCCATCTCGATCCTCGCCCGAAAATTTAGCGTCGCTTAATCTAAAATAGCTCAGAAAGCCGCTTTTCACTCTCAAATGTGAATTTATGGATGCATTTCATGAAACTGGCAAGATATCAGACGTATGAAGGCAACCAGAAGAGTATTTCCTCGCATTTCAAGACCAGATTTTCAGTTGCGTAGCACTAGCATCACCACGCGGTCGAAAGGAAATGAACCGCTTACCTTGAACTTACTGGTATATTGAACAAGACTAAGTCTCGTTTCCTTTTAAGGTTAAGGATTCTCTATTACAATTCTACTATAAGGCCACTTTTCACCTATGGCAGCGCTGTTTGGCGATCCAAAGTAACGAATGAATGTTTATTACGCCTTGTATGTCTCCAAAAGAGAGCAGCTAGGATTATACTCGATGCAGAACCACGCGCCTCTTCTGTTGTGCTTTTCAACAAATTGAAATGGCTGCCTTTTTAAGCAGAAACTCGTTTTAATAAATGTGCAATATTGTATAGGAGAATTGAACACGCAGTGCCAGAGTATCTTATGGACTCCTTGAAATTGAATAGCTCTCGGCATTCACGTAATACCAGGTTTTCCAGCTTGAATTTTATTACGCATATATACAAGAGAAAGACTGAAGGAGGAAGCTCGTTTGTAGTGTCTGCAATACAGGACTGGAACAATTTAAATTGTGAGATAAGTTAGCAACCGAGTGTAAAATGTTTTAAGCGTGCCTTGAGAAAGCAATTTTTACAAGATCAAGTTCACTTGTCTTATTTTTATCCATAATTTTTATTGAAATTTATTATGTATTTATTTATTTGTTCAATTTTTATTATAGAACTATTACCTTGTTTATAGATTAATATTGTAACTTTCATTCATTTATAGTAGAGGGCCACAAGTTTATTAGTTTTTAACTATTATGTGCTACCCTCTTTATATAAAGACGACTACCACTACTACTACTACTTGAAATTCCGCTCTGGTAATCCAGTTCTCGGTCAATTTCACTTTCCTCGTCACTAGACATTCCCAAAAGATCTTCACCTC